AGTCTGTGTTTACTGGCTCAGTCAGACTTTTATACCATAGTCTGCATTTTTAGCATTACTTTTAATGTTGCCAACTAGCTTAAGCAAATAAGCCTGTTCTGATGAAGTATGACTATTACAGACTAAATTATAGAAAATTACAGACTAAATTCATAGTTTTCAAGCAATTTCCTGAGAAAGACATTAGTTTTCAGCTTCAGTTTTTATGTTCAGTTTTAATCAGAAGAACAATAAAATTACATAGATATATATACAGTGCATGAAGTTCTGTCTAAGCACTGTGCAAATAACTTGCAAGAAAGTTTGTCATGAGAGAAATATGTGAGTTGCCATTGCTGATGTCTCATTCTGAAAATCCTGGTTGCCTTTCTGTCATTCTTTTCAACATTGTATGTCTTATTTTAGAAGTTGGTTTATTCCAACATACACCTTATCATTTTGGAATCTGTTTATACAGGGTAACACACAGGGCTGGATTCATGTGCAGTGTGATTCCATCCCTGAGTACCATTTCAGCACTATGGGTAGCTCCTGCTTCAAATTGCATTTAAATGAATTGCAAAGGGACCAGTAGTCTGCTTTAAGGTTTGCAATGTTCCATGTTTACCAGTTTTGGCTCCAAGTTTATTGCAGAATAGGATTGAGATTTAGGTTTACCACTACCATGGGTTTGAGGAGGGACTACAGGCTTTGCAAAGATTGTATCATGAACTTTTGGGTGAAGAGTTTACAGGATCACAGCCAGAAGTAAGGAACAACCTATAATGCAGGGGATTGCCTTTGTCACTAGTGAGTTGAATCACAAGGGGCAGTCATTTTAAGGATTGGATAACCTAACCTCTTTTCTATTAAAAGGGTAGACATACAGCCACCACATGTCAGTGTGTGTTGAAGTTTTTAGGGACAGTTACATTTTTTGTCTAGGGTGTTTTTATTGATAGTTTTTTCTAATTTTGGTATTAGTGTATGTCACCCATGGCACTACAAATATTCCAATGCCTTTTTAGAGGATAGCTTATTAGCCTTATAAATTACTTGAGTTTAATACCAAGATTCACCCTCTTAACTGTTATTGAGGTTTGCCAAAACATTTTCAATCCTTTGATTCACACAAAAATGTTTGCAAACAGAATCCAGACAAATTTATTCATCCTACCATGGATGAACTGAATGTACCTGGGTTCATTTCAAGGTGGGTTTGCAGATCATGAATAAAGTGTGGGTGCCAAATCCAAAGCCCATTGAAGTAAATGAGGAACAATTTGAATGTTAAAAAAACAGTAATGATCATTTTCTAGGCTAACAGGCAAGGGTTTATCAAACAAATGGCATGGAGGGCTGTGCTCTGATCATGCACCAAAAATGATGCGCGATGGCCGTCTTCCACTGTGCCATATTCTTTAAATAATAGATTGCTCTGTTAGGCTTCCTAGCCACTTGACAGGTGACTTCTAATCCATCCACGCTGGGAATTATACAGACTTTGAACTAAGTAATTTCAACCTGTGAATCTTATCTTTGTGTACTACATTACTTTGCAGCACAGCGTGGATATGTTTTGGTTGTAAGACCATCATAAATCTATGTGTTATATATGGTTCTCTTTTGCTTTATTTTTTAGCTTGGTTGAGGTCATTTTTCATTGGAGACCTCAGTGTGGTGCTCTCTTGGCAGGCTTGGGGTCTCAAATTGCACCTTGGGGTGTTGGTGTGAGAATGACAGGCTGTTTTTAATCTGTATCATGGCTACATTTATGATGCTCCTATACAATTAGGATATGTATATGTATTTTTGTATGCATTATATTCCTTACATTTTTGATACTGTAATGTACTTATTGTGATTTGTTATGCCATAGAACTTCCTTTTTGTCATCCTCCTCTGTTATATACCCCTGAGGAAAGAGTACTAATCTGAAATGCATCGTTTTTCCAATGGATGAATGTCCAGTGGAATAACAAGAGGAGAGTCTCTTGACATCAGCTAAAGTCCCTTTATTTGCAGTTATGTATCCATTATATTGTGACTTTTATGGAACTGATAAATTTCTAGTATTTTACTGCACTAGAATAAAGCTTTGTTGTATTTTACCTCAGTATCTTTTTGTTGCCCTTAAAGTCCCTTGTCCAAACATTGGGGGTACTTCGATCTTTCTGCATAATTATGGTATGCGGAAATTTTAATAATGCTTTAAGTGAAACATAACATAAAAAATGTAAAATTATTTTAAATATCATGCCTAGGAGATTTCCCTACCCTGCCTGTGAAGTGGCATATCTGTACAATGTATACAACCTACAGTAGCAACACTGACATTTACAAAGAAAAAAAATGCCAAATGAAAGCTCCCACTCACTACTTCTGAACATAAAATAGCTAGGGATTCCCTTTATCTATACCAGAGGATCCTCTGTCATCACTGACTCGCCACCATATGACATACCTGCCACTAAAAGTAAACAAAGAGGTGGGATCTCTTTGCTGATGTCATTTATGGGCAAGAGCATGACCATATTTGGTCAGTGACATCACAGGACTCCCAGGTCAGGAGTGAATCCGCAGCTCATCCCTAATCTCTACTCCAGACGTTTTGCTCCATCTCCAGACTTGTCCAGAGCCTAAACAAGTCACAGCTCCAGAAATTGTAACAAGAGCTCCATAACTTTTCTTAGACCCCCAACTATGGCTCCAGTATTGCTAGAGAAACTGCTGTTTCAGCCTCAAAATTATTTAAAGCAGCTTAGCTGAGTCACTGCTTAAAAAGAAATACCTACAGAGTTCATACTTGATTTGATATTTAAAAAAGAAATACATTTGCATAAGTGCTGAATTTGATATTCTTCCTGCAAACAAGATTTCATTATTCTTCCTGCAACTGCAGAAAAAAAGCAAAATGCTTTGGCTACTGCATAAAGAAAAGAAAAAGAAAACAGGTATAAATGAGTCAAAGCACTCTATGCAGTGTGTTTTATTAATGATAAAAGGTATTTAGATAACCCCTGAATTTAGGAAGAATTCAGGGAATGAAGCTAAGAATCTTAAGAGAAATAATCGCAAATTAGAAATCAAAAATCAGAAATTGTTTATCACATGAAGAGTAACAGCGCCCTTTATGATGTTTGTTTTTGTTTTACCTTATTGGATTTTTTCTTTAAATATCACTGTGACTTATATTGTCTCTCTTTTTTTTCTATGCTAATTCTTTTTACATGTGCAAAGCTGAGAATCACCCTGCAGTAGCTAAAGGGCTGTCAGTTACAGTTAAATCCCTCAGTTACACCTGCTGATGTGACGTGAGGTTAAATTGTTCAGTCACATATAACATGTCTAACACCCTACTGTTAGTATGGATTTTAATCTTTTATTGCCTGCAGGTAGGATTGTAAAGGTTAATACCACAAGAACCAGTGTAGCAGCTGCTGCAAGTGAAGCAATATTTGTATAATTATGATTAAAGAGATAAAAGAATCATGACATTATTTGTGTTAGATAATGCTATGATGATTTGCATGCATTTTCCCTCTTTACAATCAGCGGGTACTACCATCACTAGATCCAGGTGATAACAGTGGTGTACCTAGCAGATCTGGCACCCAGGGTGGATCATTTTTGTAATGGCCCTCTCTATGCATCAAATGTATTGCAGATTTTGTGCTGTACAAGTTCCTGGTTTAAGCTACTATTATGTTTGTTGTTACTCATTCCATGTACAGCCACTCAGTAGATGATAGTTATACAGTTAGTTAGGTTGAAAACAAACAAGTCTATCCAGTTCAACCAATAAAAAAGAATAAAGAAATAATTTAAAATGCTAAAAGATAAACTTTTTTAAGACAGTGAATACAAAGCAGTGAACTGCAAAGGGTATCAAGAAAACCTTTTCTCTTAAAGTGGTTGTAAAACCTCAGACATGAAATATGAACAAAGAATAACCCTCTATAGTGTGTACTTGTCTCTATCCAGAGCACCAAGTGTAATTTCTGCCTGATACCTCATTCCTCTGCAAGCTGCATAAGTCACTTATGACACTTTTTCCTCACACCAAGAGAAAAAAGGTGATGGGGAGGGATCTCCAGCAGATTGACAGCCTTAGCTCTGTTCCTGTGTGCTGTGTGAAGGGGATGGGGGGGGGGGGGGGGGGTGTCCATTCCCTGCAATCCACTGTCAGACCTCCCCTCACTGAGTATAACCTCAGCTCCCCACCTCCTGCTTTTTAGAGCTGAGAGATCCTGTGTAAATTCTGGACTTTGAATGGTTGTAGAGAAGAGAATATTGCAAATAAACAGGTGCAACTTGAGTAGAATTATTTGTTTCATCTCTGTGAATCACCTGAGGCTAATCACTTCACTGGGTATTTGTAAGGGGTTACAACCACTTTAAAGTGTGTCTAAAACCTAAAATTCTATCTGTTTTTTTTTTGTCATTTGTCTCCCAATGGAAAGATTTCCCTCCACTTTCTGTTGTCATGGGAAAAAGTGTTGCTTCACTTTCAGTCTAGGTGACAATGGTCAACACATCAATATGGGATCGAATGCTTCCGTTCTGTATCCAAAACAAATGCAAAATGTTTTGGCTTTAGATAAAAATTAAAGTGAATTTATATAATGGATTGTAGGTACATTAAGTAAGTTTTTTTTTCTGTTCTTCCGAGCCTCTTCTCACACAACTCTACAATATGCAATCTTCCTCTATGATATGTATAGAAAGGGCAAAGAACCAGAACATTTTCACGTGCTAGGATTTGTTAACCATATAAGAAATAATGGAGAATACACTAAGTTAATGAGTGACACAGCTGCTCCATTTTGACCCCGAGTGAGTTTAAATCCAGTTTTTTTCAAGGTTGACTATAGTATATCATTAAATCTGTTACTTTGCATGTGAATAATGTCACATATCTCCTTCATTTTTAAAGAGCAATAATGTGTAAGCTCACCAAAATTACCGTATTTTTCGCTCCATAAGATGCACTTTTTTCCCCCCAAAAAAAGGGGGGGAAAATGTCAGTGCGTCTTATGGAGCGAATATGGAGCGGCCGGTCCGGTATTTCCACCGCCGCCGTGTCAGAATACCGGGCCGGCCGCTCAGCTCTGCAGCGGGACCTTATGGAGATGACTGCTGACCTTTGGGGAGGTGGGGAGCCGGGTACCTGAATTTGACAGGTACCCGCTCTTACTTCCGCGGAGTTGTTCTTTGACCTTACCTGCTCCTCTATCCAGCGGCGCGCTGTCTTCCCGGCTTCTGTAGTGTGGGCACTGGGCTTGACAGCCGGGTGCCAAGTGCGCATGCGCAAGAAGCGGTGCTTTTTGTGAATGGTAAGGCAGTACCTGGGACACATGACAGATCCCAGAAGCCGCCAGACCAATCACAAAGCGCAAGTGCTTCTCGCTCATGCGCACTGGGCACCCGGCTGTCATGCCGAGCGCCCCCACACACTACAGAAGCCGGGAAGACAGCGCACGGCTGGATAGAAGAACAGGTAAGATCAAAGAACAACTCCGCGGAAGTAAGAGCGGGTACCTGTCAAATTCAGGTACCCGCTTCCCTCCCCCTCCCCAAAGGTCAGCAGTCATCTCCTGTACTGTCTGCAGTCTCTGGTCATCCCTGTGCTGTCCGCAGTCTCTGGTCATCCCTGTGCTGTCCGCAGTCTCTGGTCATCCCTGTGCTGTCCGCAGTCTCTGGCCATCCCCTGTACTGTGTCTGCAGTCCATTAGTTCAGAATTTTTTTTTTCCTGTTTTCTGCCTCTAAAACCTAGGTGCGTTTTATGGTCAGGTGCATCTTATGGAGCGAAAAATACGGTACATATTTTAGTAATAGGCAGACCCTGGTGAGCTCTGCAAGACCCTAGCTTCTTATGTGTCTCATTTATGCTAATGCTGATATATCCCTGCAATAGTAGTCAACCCTGTTCCTGTGTATGAAGGAGTTCTGGGTCGTCTTGTACACCTGTGTGTAAAATTCAGCTTCTTCATGATATAAAAAAAATTACCAAATTCAACAGGAATAGTGAGAACTCCTACGGGTAGTCCAGTTTCCTTCTACACTCCAAAGACTTGCTGGTATGTTACTTGGATCCTGTCCGAATCGGAGTTTGTGCTCCACTGGTGACCACCAAAAGGTGGTATAAATAAAGCAGGGCTGGAGCAAGGAAGTCGCTCGTGTGGCCCGGGACTCAGAGAACCATTCTGAGAGGGCTGTGCTTGGAAGAGATTGTTATATCACTAGAGACAAGGTTTGCTTATGGTTTTGTTTTGTTGGTGACAGGGAGAAGCCATTCACCAGTAAGAGAGGGAAAGCTCTATGTTTAGTTAGTGCCTGGATGGCAAGGGTTTAATTTGCTGTTTTGTTTGTTTCTGATATTTTTTGCAAACCTGTGAATAAAAACTGACAACCAGTCAGAGTTTTAAGAAAGCCTGCTGTGCGGTCTACCTGTTTTTCCCAGGGAAGGTGATCCCCCCACCTGAGCTAACTCCACAATATATATACACCGTGTTCCAAATTATTATGCAAATTATATTTTTCTAATTTACCTAAATAATTGATGTAAATAACAGTCAGCATAATTCTCATGTTATCAACTATTAAGAGTACAATTCAAATTTTATTGAACAAACCTCCTACTGATAACAGTATTTTTTGTAAACATAAAAAACTTACAATGCACTGTTCCAAATTATTACGCACAGCAGGTTTCAAAAACACTTTATAGGTTGTAAAGAGCTGAAAATTGTCATTTGTTGTGTTTGCAGCATGTTTACTGAAATCAAAAGCTATTTCAATCAAACTTTTAACAACATTTTAACTGTTTAAAAAACATTTTAACAGGTCACGTTACATTTTAACATAGGACCCCTTATTTGATTGCAGCTTCACAAGTCTTGCATCCATTGAACTTGTGAGTTTTTGGACAGTTTCTGCTTGAATTTGTTTGCAAGATGTCAGAATAGCCTCCCAGAGCTGCTGTTTGGATGTAAACTGCCTCCCACCCTCATAGATCTTTTGCTTGAGGATGCTCCAAAGGTTCTCAATAGGATTGAGGTCAGGGGAGGATGGAGGCCACACCATGACTTTCTCTCCTTTTATCCCCATAACAGCCATTGATGCAGAGGTATTATTTGCAGCATGAGATGGTGCATTGTCATTCATGAAGATGATTTTATTACGGAAAGCATAGTTCTTTCTTCTGTACCAGGGAAGAAAGTGGTCAGTCATAAACTCCACATACTTTGCAGAGGTCATCTTTACACCTTCGGGGCCCCTTAAGGGGCCGACCAGCTCTGTTCCCATGATTCCGGCCCAAAACATGACTCCACCACCACCTTGCTGACGTCGCAGCCTTGTTGGAACAGGGTGGCCGTCCACCAGCCATCCACTACTCTATCCATCTGGACCATCCAGGGTTGCATGGCACTCATCAGTGTACAGGACTGTTTGAAAATTAGTCTTCATGTATTTTTCTGCCCAATGCAGCCATTTCTGCTTGTGAGCATTGGTTATTGGTGGCTGAATAGAAGGTTTATGCACAGTTGCAAGACTCTGAAGTACTCTACACCTTGATGTCCGTGGGACTCCAGAGGCACCAACAGCTTCAAATATCTGTTTGCTGCTATGTAATGGTATTTTAGCAGCTGCTCTCTTGATCCGATGCATGGATCTGGCAGAAATCTTCCTCAATGTGCCTTTATCTGCATGAACCCGTCTGTGCTCTGAATCAGCCACAAATCTCTTAATAGTGCGATGATCACGCTTAAGTTTTCGTGAAATATCTAATGTTTTCATACCTCATCCAAGGCATTGAACTATTTCACTCTTTTCGGCAGCAGAGAGATCCTTTTTCTTCCCCATATTGCTTGAAAATGGTGCTCTGCTTAATAATTTGGAACACCCTCCTTTAGTAGTTTTTCCTTAAATTGGGCTCACCGGCCAATCTAATTATCACAGGTGTCCGAGATTGTTTTCAGTGATCAAAAGAGCCCTGAGACACAATGCCATCCATGAGTTAAAATGAAAAACAAAATATTTAATCTTTGTGACACTTAAATAGAATTTGCATAATAATTTGGAACACGGTGTGTATATATATATACATATATATATATATATATATATATATATATATACATATATATATATATATATATATATATATATATTGGCCCTAGTTTGTGTATGTATGAATGTAAGTTAGGGACCTTAGATTGTACACCCCTTGAGGGTTAGGGACTGAATGTGAATGTATAATATATATGTAAAGCGCTGGGTAAATTGACGGCGCTATATAAGTACCTGAAATATATATATATATATGTAAATCACTGTGTAAATTGATTGATGTCACTATATAATTACCTGTAATAAATAAATACATACATTATGAGGGTTAAAAAAAAAAGAGATGTGGTGGGGTGGGTATGGTGGTTGCATTAAGGGCAGAGAGTTAAATCCCCTATGTTTGCTTGTGTGCCATTTACCTTCACTGCCTGTCCCAGAGACAAAACCAGAAGTTAGAGGAAACATCCCAAAGGGGATGACAGTTATCCAAAGAACAGGTGTCCCAATTGGAAGCTTTCCACTTACCTCTTGTTTTGCAGACAACTGTAAAATTTTGGCTTTCCCTCCACTATTCTTATTGATTACAACTATCAAAGTACAAACAGAGGAGTGAATCTCCGAAATGGAGAAAAAGACAAAGATAAGATCTTGACAGAGGATTTAACCCTTTACTATTCTATAAAAAAGGGGTTTTTCCTAGACATGCACATTAAACTTGAATTTTACTTTATAAAACATCTGATTTGCAACAGATTAAACATCCAGATTCCAAATGTTAAAGTATAACTATGCTTTTGTTGAGAAAAAAACAATCTCTTCTGGGTAAACTATGTAGATTGCAAGGACTTTAATAAGCTTTTTTTCCGATCCCTACAGTTTTCTGTTTTCAAGAAATACTGTAGCTGTTTTTTCTAAAGTCTCCTTTCTAGACTGATTTCTACATGAGAGGGACTACTCTCATTGTAATCACCAGAACAAATCTTAGTGTTCTAATGAGGAAAGCTACAGTGTCTGCATCCCTTTAGAAGTACAAGCGTAACTTAATGCACACTTCTGGGAAAATCAATGATCCAGTTACAGAAGTAGAAAATTACATTGGGGGGGGATTCTGTACTAATACCTGCAGATTTCTATATTGCATTGAATTCTTTTGACAGTTTTAAAAAATTAATGCCACGTGAAGACTGAAATAGAAAAGGTATTTTTTTTAAACCATTAACTTGATTACATTTTATATTCTATATTTTCTGAACAAAAGTGGCATTTTCCTTTAAAGGTACAGTCTTTTTTCAGGAGCAGTGTGGCAAGACAGATTTTATGAAGGAAATTTGGACAACTAAAATCTGTACTGAGTCCAGCGTAAGATGAAAGCCATTTCAATACTTCAATGCTGCACACAAGAGTTTTTTTTAAACACAAAGGCTTTGCATGTATGCATTCAAAATGATATTGTGTATTGTGTGTACTAATAAGCATAAATAAAACATTGCTATTATAATGCCCCTACATTGACATCATGCTCATTTTTAAATCCTGGATAAGATATGAGAAGACAGTAATTCCACATAGTGTTCAGTGCTTGCTCAACTCCCTGAAAGTAATATTAAAATGCTAACACTCTTATCTTGCTTTGATTTCAATGGTAATCTGCCTGTTCCTTTAGATTTTCACTTGGCTTGTCAACGAGTTCTTTTGATCTCTGTGTGTTACCCTTGAAAGCAATTGTATTTTTGTATTATTTACTTTCATTGTTATTTAGAGATTGTCCCTTTATGTTCATCCATCACAACATTAACTTTAACTGGATTTTCAAACAGAATTGAAGAGCAGGATATCACAAGGGAAGGTTTTAGTGAAAAATGCATTGCAAGGCTGAAGATGTAGACTGTTACAGATCAGTAACCATTTGGAGTTGTGTACATAGCATATGTCGAATGATTTACTTTTGGGTATCAGCAGTCTGCTGCAATTCATCTGTTAACTGCCCATAGCTAGAGATTACTGATAAATAGCTGTGGTAAGTAGCTTAAAGTACATATGTCAGTTTTCCTGTTTTTTGATTGGCCAGTAAATCTACTTATTGTTATACTACTTAGGAATGCACAAGATTAAGTTGGTGGTCTGTGGACACTATCAGGAAGTGTTAAACCTTTTAGATATAGCTTTTTGGAGCTGGGCTCAGTGAGTGAATTTAAATGAAACGTGTTGAGAACAATATAGAGACTACTACAGATATTTACTAAAAATGCAAGTGTAACTTGGATTTTAGCTGATAGCCACTGTGGATGTTCTTCCTTTGTTGCTGATGTATTACTCTTCTGCAGTGTGGACAGGGTTAATCTGAATATTCAATAATACAGAAGTGCAGCAACCATCTTTAAGGTGACCACAGCTACTGCTGCTGGATGAATGGATCCCTGTCAAAGCTGACCACAAA